TTAAAAATATTTAAGATAGCCTGCTGGTCTTAACTGGTTTAAGATGGTCTCCTAGTTTGGCCAAACTGTTCAAGTGTCCAAAACACCTCTTAAACCAGACAACAGTATGACCAGGTTGGGATATATACATTTCTATAAAGTGATATAGAACCTCACAAGAGTGAGGCATATTACTGATTAAGGTATTATATGGCTCTATTGGCCACAGTTAATGAAACACTAGTCTTTTCTGATCAGTCAAAGAAAGGCTATGTTTTTTGAGCAGTGGATTTCAATCCTAGGTCTGAAATACCTCACAATGACCTAATTTTTTATGTCTCCCTTGTCTGACACACCCAATTTAGATATCAGAGCCTCTGCTAATGAGCTGATGATATCAAGCAGTTGTGTTAAATGAGAAAAATATACAAAATGTGCAGTATTGAGGGTTGAGAACCAGTAATGAAAACCCTTTAAAACCCAGTCTGGCTGTTCTATGATCTGTCAGAGAAAGGCCATTGTATCCCTTCACTTACTCCACTTCCCAGCACAGATATTAGACGGAATACACAATGAGCAATTATGAGGCAACAATATTTTCATAAATAAAGAAATGCATACGAGACTGAAGCTGCAAATGAAACCTTTCACGTTATTTTATGGCGATCTGAGTCAGAGTTTAGAATAGCATGCATCATATGCCCTGTCAATGACATCACACTCATGCAAACCACAGGCTAGTGTGTTTATACTGGATACTGGTCTATAAGTGGTGCTGCACCCGCAGACTCAGGATGACTTGATACCTACTTTTTTTGACGCGTTGAGTCTCTCTGGCGGCGTGTTTCCTTATAAAAATGTCAAATTCATTCCTTTGAGCTCAAGAGCATGATATGTACACACACAGGCTTCAGCAACAGGAGCGGCCCCGCACTATAGTCCAGCTGAGAAAAAAGATGCTTCGTTATACGCCCGACCCCGCTTACCGGGGACGAAGAGGATGCTCTTCTCCTTCAGAAAGCCGCTACACGTCACATTCATAGCCTTCCTTGACAAGATACCGTGACGATTCCTATCCAAAACAAACATAACAGTTATGCATAATTAAAAAGTTGCAGCATCCGTGTTAAACCAGGAGTTTAATTTCGGACAACAGACGGAAGGGCAAAAAAAGGACGATTAAAGTAGCAGTGCTATATTGGACGTTATGGTGCTTTGCTTGTGTTTGGGGGTTACATTTTAAAAGTAACAGCAAGATTCTGCGCTGTAAATTGTTTGGGGTAAATTTATGGTTAATTCTGGCAACTGTGGTTGCTAGTAACTAGTAGCTAATATAGCCAACACATAAGAATAGCTGATCAATGTTACCACACAAACACACAAGAGACTAAAATAATGACATAGGCCTAAACAATAAATAAACACCATTAAAAGTACTAAAAGTACCACCACCACTAAAAGTAGCTACACAACTGACAACAAAAACAAAATAAAAAGAGAATAAGCATTTCTTAAATAAAACGTAGGCTAAATGTAGTGGTTAGCGCAATGAGTTTTGGGAATGCCCCTTTCCCTCCAAAAATAAAAGGATTCATAAATTCAATTACTGATTAACAGTATCATTGTAACTTTTTTTTTGTGGCTACAATAAAGTAGGCTATACCCATTAGCCTATCTAACACAACATAGCCTATTCTCTGATTATTCACAGGCCTACTTTTTACTCTTAGTGTTTTACAATGAACTTCAAATATCATGGACTTAATTAAATATATATCGTTTTTTTATAACGTGTACCAGTGTAACTTACGGTTACCAATTTTGTTTCATTAATTTCATTAGGCCTGCTATTTTTTGCAGTGCGGAAATCCAAAAGACGGGCTATTTATTTATCCCAGTGCAGCTACAGTTTCATTTCTTTTTTTGAGAGCTCAGTTGTTCTTCTTAGGCTAAAAATTTTGTTGTTTATTTGTAATTGCAGACGCGTTTACTGGGCTGTTGTGTGGTGGATTACATTACAACCCCCTCTGCAGGAAAGTGAGGGCAGTGCTGGCCTGATGCCATTTTATGGTCACGGGACAGGTGGAGATCTCAGTTTTCTCATGATCCAAGAGAAAATTCAGCCAGGTGCAACTGTGTCCTTATAGCCTGCTCTGAGATCTCCACATGTCCATATATAGATATCATAAGATTTTTTCGTGCAGGTTAAATAGCAAACCTTTTTTGACACCAATGCGATAGAATAGTCTGTTTTCGTGATCTCCAGCAACAGGAATGGTTTTTATTTTTTATTTTAGTTGGGCAGGAGGATCAAAGCGTATGTTAAATCTATTTTTAGAACCCCTTGCCTTTGAGATTGCTTTGGGGGGGAGCAAAGAAACGGGTGGGGATGGAGAAAATGGAGACGAAAAACTTAAACAAAGGGAAATGACAGCCTATCCAGCAGCATGGGAGAATCGAGTGGCCGGTTTCTTTAAATGCGGCACCTACCGGCTGCTGCTGGTGCTGCTGCTGCAGTGCTCGGGTTATTCTCGGTGAAACCAACGGGGTAACTTACGGTGGCCGAGAGGTGCAGAACAAATCACAATTCTGAAAACAAAATAACAAATTACAAACGCAAATGCAAGTCTACAAAACAAAATAACAATTCAGAAAGCACAACAACAATTCAGAAAGCACAACAACAATTCAGAAAACATTATAACAAGTCAGAAAACACAATGACAAATTCGAAAACAAAATAACAACAAGTCAGAAAACACAACGACAATTCAGACAAACCGGAAAAGGTAGGTATAGTTTGAGACAGCGCCATTGGTTTGGGATTACTCACCGCTGACTGGACGAGACATCTGTCAATCAAAAAATACAGAGTGTCTATTTAGATTTAGTTAAAAGTGATTGTGACTCATCAGCTCCAGTGGTACAGAAAGATAAGTGCTAGTCGTTGACATTTTGGCGCGATCGACCCGGGTTCGATCCCACCTTTTGCCGAACTTTTTTTTCTCACTTTTCAAATCTCGTATCACATCATAAAGGCATTTATTTTCAATAAAAATTAAGGAAATAAACAAAAAGTTGAAAATAAAGTATCGGGTAGGGTTAGGGTGGGTGTAGGGAGGGCTTTATTGTACCAATAAGGTGGCATCCATTTAATAATTAAAATTAAAATTATAATTTACACTCAATACGTTATTTCCATTGCTAATACGAGATTTGAAAAGGGAGAAAAAAAAGTTCGGCAAAAGGTGGGATCGAACCCGGGTTGATCGCATCAAAAAGCCAAGGGCAAGTGCTTTTCCATCTGTGCCACTGGAGCCGATGTTTCACATCCACTTTTTACTAAATGTAAATAGACACCCCGTATTGTTTATTCCATAGTAAGGGCAATTCATACAATACATTTAAACTGAGCTACTTTAATACCATCTCCGAACTTTCTACCACGACTCTGCTGTTCTTCGGCTGGTTCTTCCCTGTATACGTTGATTGACAGATGTCTCGTCCAGTCAGCGGTGAGTAATCCCAAACCAATGGCGCTGTCTCAAACTATACCTACCTTTTCCGGTTTGTCTGAATTGTCGTTGTGTTTTCTGACTTGTTAATTTGCTTTCGGATTTGTCGTTGTGCTTTCTGACTTGTTAATTTGCTTTCGGATTTGTCGTTGTGTTTTCTGACTTGTTATTTTGTTTTCTGAATTGTTGTTGTGCTTTCTGAATTGTTATTTTGTTTTTTAGACTTGCATTTGCGTTTGTAATTTGTTATTTTGTTTTCAGAATTGTGATCTGCTTTGCACTTTACGGCCACCGTAGTAACTCGCGTTCAAACGACGCCCTACATCATCTATGGCGAGTACACATACTGTTGCTGTTGTGATACGCTCAATATCAGATTCACTTTTTCTACGTTAGGCTAATCTGATGTTGGGGATGGAGAGGGAAACGTAGCCTAATATTTATCTTGCAGCATGTGTGATTGCTTTGAAGAATCTTTTCAATTATTTTTTGCTGAAAGTAAAAACACAGCTTAATGTGGAAGACTGACAGATAACCCACACATTCTTAACTTCTAAAAATATTCTTACAATATTTTACAGCAAAAATACTTTTATTGTCCTGTTAAATGGAATAAAATTGGTGAGGTAAATTAAGACAGACAGACTTGATAGATAGATAGATAGATAGATAGATAGATAGATCTTTAGTTTTAATTAACTAATCTGGTTGGGTTAAGAAATTATTAAATTAAATGTTTACACAAAGATAATAAATCTTATCTTTACTCACAGAATACTTAAAGACAGTACCTGCACATCTCTGGAGATGAAGAAACTGGTCAGGTTATGTTGTGGTGGTTGATAATGTTTATTAATGAAAAGCACACAAACTTTTAAGAGGTAAGAGAGGTCAGTGGTAAATCATAACATAACCACATAATCCTCACCCTCTAGACTATATTTGACTTGTCACATTTGACAACATACAAGAAATAATATGGTCACAGAGTCCATGCCAAATAATTACTTCTCTACTTTCAATGTTATCAGAGTTTGCACTCAATAGTTCTCAGAAACAAGCATCAGTTAATCCATGGCAAAAATCCATTAGCAGTCCACACCTTTCTAAGAGGTAAGAGATAAGGCCTCTCCATAAAACTGATTATTTATTATCTAGAATTTGGCATGCGAAGAAATCCCAGAATATAAATAGTGTGTGTGGTGAGAGACATTCAGAAACACTGGGCAGACTTCTAGAATGGCTCTGACAGCGATTAGTCTTCTGTGCTTTGCAGCTTTGCTGTCTTTCCCAGGGCTGGGACTGCATGCAGACTCAGGTGAGGATTGAATTTAATTCCTTGACATATATTTAAAGTATGAAATCGAATATACTGATGTTGGCTTTTTTGGAGACACTATTATCCACAGAAACTGAGTAAGGACCAAAAGCAGTTAATTCATAACAGTTTACCTCATTATTTGTTATTAAATTTAATAACAATCTAAATTACTACAGCATGCATTTAAACTAAACAATGCTGTTTTTTCTCTCTCTCTCCCGAATAGGCAAGCTGGAACAGGTACCCGTAAGAGTGACTGTCATTAATGAGTTCACTAACGAGCAGATCTCCTACTCCACCACTGTGATAGAGGAAGGGCTGATGTTTGGTGCCTTAAATCAACTGCAGGACACCAACGACAATTTCAAGTACTCCACAAAATGTTACTAAATTTACTGATTTAGTGCACTTCACATGCAGTAAAGTGCTTATACTGTAGAATACCTGATTAACTTTGGTTGTGATTAACTTACTGGTTGTGATGACTGACATACTTAAGCAAAAGGATTTGTAATGTAATGATTGAATAAGATTATGGGGAAATAGGGTTTATCGGTGATAAGCCTGAGATGCTTTTCCAGTCATATTGTACCTGACTCAACAATTGTCTTGACATGCCATTAGAAACGCTTAGGGCTAACAAAATATTAAGAAAACAGAATGTGAATTGAATTTTTGTGCTAATTTTTTACCTTTAATTCTGTTACAACAATAGATTCACATACACTATTCATAAAACCTTTGGCATATATCTGGAAAGTGTGAACGAATTGGCTGGATCTGATATGGACCAGACATACTGGGAGCTTCTGTCTGAAAAAGAAGGAGTTATAACTCGACTGGAAGTGGGTACGTGAATGAAGATAATCATATAACATTACTTTATTGCTGTGGTGCAGGAAAGTACATTTGGCTTAATCCTAATTTAATATAATTTACTACACAAAATAATTAAAAGTTTTCAAATGTGCAAAATACAAATAGCTTCTTTTTTAATATAGAGTTATTTACACTCTGGAATGCCTCAATGTTTTGCAGGAATGGGCTGCTACCAACCCCAGAGAGATGAGAATATGATCCTGAGGTTCACCACTTGGGCCAAAAAATAGATTTAAAAAAAATCAGTTGTATTCAGTGGTTCTGAATGTTACTGCTAAATTAAAACCACAAATTGTTTCAGTCATGGAATCAACACAAAGTTTAATAATGAATAAATTAATGATTTCATTGCATTCCCAGTATAATTCTCTAATAAACATATGCTGATTAAACTGAAAAGCCTCCCTGATATTTCAACAATCATTACTAACAAATTGGAGTCAAACCAATAGTATATATTATAAGTGTTTCTTCACTTGGCTTTAAGGCTTCATCTCTGTACACAGAACAGGGAAAACAGCAAAGTTTCAGAATATCTAGGATTTTAGATAAATAAATAGAGAACAATTAGCCATTTGCACTTCTTCTTTTTACATATGTGACCTTGAGGAAGCTGTGTGTAGTTACAGTGGGGAAAAAAAGTATTTAGTCAGCCACCAATTGTGCAAGTTCTCCCACTTAAAAAGATGAGAGTACATTGTCTTCCTTTTCTTGCTTAAAACCCATATTGATATTTAAAAATCATTTAAATGCATGTTGCTCAAATCTAATAAAATTTCATCAAATTCACACTGTAAAGAAATAGTATAGTATAGTATAACAGAGCATAGTATAACATAACATAGTATAGTACTTAAAAGCAATTATAATGTGATGAATAATACATTTATGGAAAACAAGAACAATTAATTAAAGTAACTATAATTATTCTATAATCTCTGATGAGATCCTTTAACAGTCAGATCTGACTAAACTCTTATCTTGTCAGTATGGACAAGGTTTAGGGAGTGAGCCATGGGAAGTCATATTTGCTGTTTAGCTTGACTTTGACATGTGCTTTAAGTAAATTCCATATTTCTTTCTTTGTCATGATCTTTGTTTCCTTGCGTTCCTTGGCTGGCCACTCCTTTTTAAGATATGACTTTCCCAGATATTATGTGATTTAGAAAATTGCCAATGCTAAAATATATAAATAGGGTGTGTGGCTGTTAGAGACATTCAGACACACTGTGCAGACTGCTAGAATGGCTCTGACAGCGATTAGTCTTCTGTGTTTTGCAGCTTTGCTGCCTTTCCTTGGGTCTGGGGAACGTGATGACCACTCAGGTGAGTTTTCCTCTCTAAAGACACGATTTCTGCTTAAAACGAGGAGAAACATGATTGAATTCTACATCCTAACATCCTAAGTAAAGAGACTCTTGCACAAAATCTGTTCTTATCAGGAGACCTGAAACAAATGTACATTAAGGTGACTGTCACTAATTAGTTCGCTAGCATGGATGTCTCCTACCCCACAACTGTGTCGAAGGGGATTCCGATGTTTGGGGTCCTAAATCACCTACAAGATACCAACAAAAGTGTGTTGGGACGACACTTGGGAGAATTCTGTTGATCTAATATGGGTTTTTGTGTAGTTTCAAGTAGTTCACATTTCTCACTATTTGTGATTCAAGAGGTGCTGTAAACTGTTAAATATGTAGTTTTTTTTGGGGGGGGGGGGGGTGTTTTCCTTCTAAATTTTTTTTGTCTGCATAGTGCACTGTGTTATATTTCACTTTTTTCCTACTACTTTTGCAATGAACAATCATAAGAAGCTTGTCTTCCTTGGTGACTGAATAAGTTTACGCAAAACAAGAACAAAGAATCAAACTATCAGTTATTTTTTGTCATGTTCTTTCCTCATTTCTTGGCTGACCACTCCTTTTTAAGGTACAACTTCCCTCGAAATTATATGACTTGCAAAGTTGGAATGCAAAATATATATATATATATATATATATATAAATAGGGTTGGCAGCTGTGAGAGACATTCAGACACACTTTACAGACTGCTAGAATGGCTCTGACGGCGATTAGTCTTCTGTGCTTTGCAGCCTTTCCCAGGGCTGGGGGAATGTGATGACCACTCAGGTGAGTTTGCGTCTATAAAGCCAAGATTTCTGCTAAACACGAGGAGAAACGTGATTGAATTTAAATCCTTTTAGGTCTAACATCCTAAATAACATTTGAAAAGATTTAATACATTGATATTTTAGGATTCTCTGAATCTCTTTTATGCACAAAAATCTCTCTTCTTAACAGGACAGCAGGAACAGATCCCCATTAATGTGACTGCCACTAATAAATTCGCTAACACAAAGGTCCCCTACCCCACTGCTGTGACAGTGGGAATGCCGATATTTGGGGTCTTAAATAAACTAAAGGACACCAACAACAGCTTCACGTATGTCACAAAATGTTATCAAATTATTCTGGTTTAATGCACTTTACATAAAGCAAGTTTAGCATAGTAGGTTGATAGGTTATGGGGAAATGGGGCATCTTTTTACCGTGTCAGTCTATTGTACAAATCTCAGGACTTTAAAGAACTGTTGTAGTGGTAATGTTATTCTTTTGTGCTAATTCTCCTGCATTTATTTCTATTAGTTTCACATACAGTATTAACAAAAGCTTTGGCATATATCTGGAGAGTGTGAACGGACTGGCTGGATCTACTGAAAACCACACATATTGGGAGCTTCTGTCGAAGAAAGGAAACAGTATAACCCGACTGAATGTGGGTAGGTGTATGAGTTTAATTAGCCACACAGATTTAAAAATTTTTTTTTTAATTAATTGGTATTTTGCTTTCATTTTATTTACAACCCTCTGTATACAGTATATATATAAACAAAATAAATTTCCACAAACTTTTGCAGGAATTGGCTGCTACCAACCCAAGAAAAATGAGAATTTCATTATGAACTTCACCACTTGGGACTAAAAGGACATTTGTTTTCTGTTATGGGTTATATTTTGTGGTTATAAAAGAGATCACTCTGATTCGGATCAACTATATTAATGCAAGGAGTATGAATAATAATTTCATTGGATCTACAATAGTATAATACTGGAACAGAAATGTTTCTCTGATCTTTCCACAGTTGTAAACTAACTATACAATCAAATGTACATTACATATCTGTACTACTAAACACATAAAGGAAAACAGCGACATTTCCAGACATCTGGGCTTTTGTAGTCAGTGATTAAAATAAAGGTCTCCAGTTGTGTAGATATTTAGGATCTAGAGATGCATAAAATGCTTTTATATTCAGTTTGACAAGTTCTGTTAATGTTACATGTCAAGCCTCTCTCTTTACATTCAAATAAAAATTAATTCTGTTGTTTCCAGAGGATAATGAATACAGATTCACTATCTTCTATCCTGTAAAGCTGAGGGAACAAACAAAAACATTGATTTTGAAATATTGTTACTGCAGTTATTTGCCAGTAAGTTAACTAGTCACAATTTATACGACTCTATAAAAACTTACCACAGGGAGTGAAGCAGTCACAGTCGCAGTAGTTGCAGCGTGTAAACCAGCGCTTCCAGCCTGATTCTTTAGTTCTGCAGTTCTCAATACGACTGCATTTGTGGTTCAGAGGGACTGCATAGCTTTTAGCATCAGGACAGGTGGACGAACATGTCCCGTCGATGTCCTTCTCATTGATCTCAACCCGGCCACGATAACACACTCCTAATGTCACATACAGGAGAAGAGAGAATTGTACTTAACTTGTATTTAATATAGCCAATGAAATGACCAATTTCAGTGTAAAATGTTAAATTTTTAATCTCCACAACCCAGACTTTGACCTAAAGTAATATATTTTTATAAATAAATAAAATATTATAAAAATATCAAATGAACTTAATACATCTATACACTTTATATGAAAAAATATGATGTATCAGTAGACATTTCATGTTTTCATGTTATGTACAATGACTATGCACTCTGTAAAATTAAGGAACAATGTACGTGTGGGTTAATATGAAGGGAGTTTCTGTACTTGGTTTTCATAGGTGTTTTCCCTTTCCTTTGAATTGCAATTTTTTTTTTTTTGAATTAAAGTAAAGGGCTGTACTTAATGGATAAAGTCCTGACAGAAAATGACCAGTACCTTTTCCATTCTTGCCCATTCTTCTATGCATTTTGTTTCTTACAGTGTGTGGTAATTCGATGAGTTATTTTTAACTCCTCTCAAAGTAACAGTACTGACTATTACAACTTTAATAAGTGTTCAGCCTCTCATATACTATATATACACATGAAACTTAAGACAGATTAGGTCTCATTTTTGTGTGCACTTTCTGGGTATTTCCGTAAATTGTGTGCAATGTCCAGGCAGACCAAGACTTACTAAGACAGGATGGTTTGGGTGTCCATTTCCCATTGGACTGACAGGCTCGGGCAGGATCTCCCAACAACACGAACCCTGGTCTGCAGTCGTACCGCACTACAGAACCCACCCACCAATCACTCCCATACACCATCCCATTAAAGTCCACATCAGGCTTTCCACAATTCACTATGGCAAAGAAAATGACAGAAGATTAAACAGGAAACAAAACTCATGAAACACATAAAAAGCTCTAGTTCTCACACACACACACACACACACACACACACACACACACACACACACACACACTTCCTATTCTTCGAAGAGGGGAAGAGGGGCAGAGGGCAAATTTCTCCTTCAGACCCCTAGAACCTGCTTAAAAAACAGAGGATCTAGAGCCTTTGAAGTGGCTGGTCCCACCCTCTGGAACAACTTACCAGTTCACATCAGAATGGCTTCCACTTTATCTGAGTTCAAGTCATATCTTAAAACACATCTTTTCTCTCTGGCTTTTAACATGTAGTA